CCTTGAAAAAAAACCCCCCCCCCCCCCCCCTTTTTTTTTTTTTTAATTTGAGGAAAAAAAGGCTTCCATTTGTCTGTGTGCGAGAGCTGAATTGTCTTGTGGGTCAAGAGCCTTTGACATTTCCTTTCCATGCAATGACTGCGTAAGGGCTGGACAAGCAACTTGGCCAGTCAGCCCTTGCTACATTAGAGAAGTGTTCCATGCTCCTCCCGTCACTTGCCGTGAATCAGCTTGAGCCATGCTTGCTTGCTTACTCTGGAAGGGATGGATGATGTGGTGCCTGAATTGCCCAGCTGCTGCCTTTAATGATGCTTACAACACTGATCCTGAGCTGCTGTTGGAAAGTGTGGGAAAACCTACAAAGCTTCCCTGGAGTTGGTGGGCCTTGGACAGAGGCAAGAGATATGAAGGTCTTAAAGCAGTTGAGAAATAAAGGGGCAACAGCTTCTCCGTCCCAAGGAGTGTTTGCTGAAGGATCACCTGTGCAGGTGGTCAACATGTCCATCCTGTCCTTTGCTGGCAGGACTCCAGTATTTCTGGGGTGTCCCACGTTCTGCTGCTGAGGAGCTTCTGCGCTAGGTCATGGACTGACCTTCCTCCTGTTGTATTTTTATGTATATATAATGCTTTGGGCCATATTCCCAATGGTCCTTGAGCAGAAGTGTGTTATGTGTGTGAGGGAGATGCAAAGAGAGAAAATATAGAATAAATGTATATTTTTGTTTGTAAAATAAAGAAATAAAATTAAGTTTGGCATAAATGGTCATACTTTCTTTCTCAAATGATCCATACTATGGAGAAAAGTAGCCTTTGTGTTTTGGTTTGTGTTTTGTTTGTTTGTTTGGTTGGTTGGTTGTTTTTTTTTAAAGCCCTGAGCAAGTGTGGCAGATAATAATGTAATAATGTGATGTCTTTTTGTCAGAGATGGATCTTTCCTTCTCGGAAAACTGTTACTAGAACAGTAAATGACTGTGCAGAGAGTGGTCTCCAGGTCTAAATAATTGTCAGTGAAGCCTTTGACTCTTCTCTTGGCAAATAGATCTTGCTGTTCCTGGGCATGTCTAGTATCGGAGGTCTTTGCTGTAGGATATCTTTCTTTGTTGCTTGGGAAAAGCCTCGTGTGGAAGTTGGAATTGACTTGCTTATTTCTTGTTCTGGGCTTTGTAATGAACACTGTGTATCAGGACTAACTTTCTGGCTGCAGGGAAGACATGATACCTGCTAAGTAACAGCTAAGTGTGCTGGCAGTAATCAGCATCCATCAGGTTCTCTTTGGTGGGGGTATAGGCTGGGGAGTGGGCTGACCTTGGGATGGGCCATTGTGTGGTACGACCTTACAGAGCTCCTTCCAGGTTCCCTGCAGAAAACTGCCCTAGGAAATGCTACCATTGGAGTTAACTATGACGGCATCCTCTGCTCCTGCATAGGTGGAGAGGTGTTTAGGTTGCTGTACAGCTTCTCCACCATTATCACAGCTGCTTCCACATCAGTGTCCTGCAGGTTGTGGGCCCTGTTGAGTGTCCTCAGGCTCTTGGAGATCACAGGAAGGCTCGGCTGTAGGCGTGAAGTGTAGTTTTGTTTGTCTTTGCCCACTCTCCCTCCTGGATCTTTGCAGATGACGCTTGGCACCTGGCTGGAGTTACACCTGAAAAAAGCCTAAGGAAGAATGAGAAGAATAATCCAAGTTACGGGACGACTGCTGGAGGAGCAATTAAATGGTTGAGAACTCGCCAGCCTGGAAGAGCAATGATGCAGGTCTGTGAAATCCCGGGAAGATGGAGGAGGCCAATAAGAAATGACTGTTCATGGGCTTCTTCAGTACAAAAACTGGGTGCCATCAAATGAAGAGAGCAGGTGGCAGGTTAGAAATAAACAAGAGGTTGGTGAGAGCGTTCTGGGTGGGGTCATGGTTTGACTTTAGCCAGACCTTTGCTCTTGCAGTGGACATGTGCAGTGTTTCTGTACTGCAGTGCAAAGAGCTGATGCGACCATGGTGCAGTGCCCTTGTCTTGAACTTGAGCAATGAGACAAGTCCCCAGCATACAAGGTATTACACAACTAACAAAAATATTCCCTGCTTCCAGGAGTGTGCTGTAGAAGAGGCTTGGATATCTTGGGGGGCAGACTCCTAGATACTCCCTTAGAGCTGGCCAGAGTCCCACTGCTGAGTCAAGGCTGTGGTTGCCACATTAGCTGCAGTGAAGAATAAGCATTAAACAGTTAAAACTGCTCCAATGTGCTAATAAGAAGTAGGTAAGTAGCGTGTCCGTACCAAGGCTCCGTTAACTGTCTAGTCACAAATGCATGAAATTGTTTAGGTCATCACATGGTCTGTATTTCTGGGAGTGCAGAAAGCTTATTTGGAAAAGAGCCTTCAAAGCTGCCATTTCTCGGTCCAGCTGCTTGTGTGGTACATTATCTTCTTTCTCATTCCTTTGGTTTAGGCTGTGGATCAGCCGTGCCCGGTGATGGGGACCATATTTGTGATGGCCTGACCTACGTGGGACCCGTGTGTATGCCCGTCACGGCAGGTAACGGCACAGTCGGTGGGTCTCACTGGAACAGAGTGGCTGAAAGGAGCAGAGAGGTCAGTTCTGCCCACAGAGCAGCTGCTGTAAAATTGACTAGAAATCGTAGACTGTAACTTTGTTTTCAGTCACCAGAGAAGGGTGAGCCGGTGTGTTGGGGTGGTGAGCTCCCTCTACCACTGTGGAGACGCTGCGTGTGTGAAGGTGGACGAGGGGATTGCTGGTGGGGTGAGGGGATGCCCTCGCCGGGCTGCCTTGGGAGCTGCTTTGTCTCCATGCTGCCAAGGGAGAATTGCCTGGACACCCCCGGGGGGGCTCCTCAGCCCGGGGATCCTCTGTGACGGACAACGCCTTGTTGATTTCTCGGTTTTGGAGCTCAACTTTGTGCCTTCCTGGATTATTTTCCTTGGGGTTACGTTGTGATTTGGTTTTCTTCCTTCCACAATTGTGACCCAGCGAAGAAACCCCACGGGGCGAGAGTCTGGCAGTGGAGGTTCGCAGGGTGGGTTGATCTGCATTCGAAAACGAAGGTGCGGAGGGACGGGCAGAGCCCTCGGTGTGGGAAGGGAAGAGGCGGCGGCCTAGCGAGGCCGAGGGCTACAAACCGAGCCCGGAGACGCTCCGGTACCGCCGTGGGTATGTCGCTCAAGCGGTAACCTGTCGGGGCCGCCTCAGGCCGCCCGCGCAGCCGCCGGCGACAGCCTACAGCCCCCAGCCTGCACCGCGGCCCGCCGCCAGCACC